GAACACTGCTGTCACTATTAGCTGTGTGTCTGAGAAGTCCTTTTGTCTTGTTAAGGCTGTCATGGTACTTTACCCTTTCTGTAACCCTGGAAACAACTTCAAGTACTGTGATATTTGGAAAGTCTAAAATATAAGTTGCCCTTAAAATGCTATAAGTGTTTTTTGAGGCCCCCTGTGCAAGGGAAGAGAAGTCTTTTCACTTTACAGAGGACATTAAGCAATGATGGATGTGAATCTTTTGTGACAAAGCTGATCCTCACCTGTTGTAGCTGGAGGTGAGAAATGGTGCTGGCAGCACTGACCAGTGTCCTCTCTTTACCTGCCCCTAGAGTTCAGGAATCCTTCTTTCCAAGTGTTGCATGAGAGAACTTTCAGGAAGCAATAAATACATTTTGATTCCACTGGTTAATACAGTTAAGGTCAAAGAGATTCTATCTGGAGGTATTTAAAATACTCTTAACGTGCAGACATACTGCTGTCAGTAGGGCTAAGTGCCTTATCTGGCTGAGGGGTGTATACAACCCTTATGAAACTATTCTTAAGTATTCTGGTTACTATATTTAGCTCTGGCTCATAACAAGACAAAAAGCACTTAGCTAAATATAGTCCTGAAGTGCTTAATCCAATTAAGAATATTTTGTCCGTAAGTGTCTTCTAGGTGAATTTTTGTAGCTCACCACCCTGCTGCATCATGCAAAAAGCTTCTCTGTGTGCTTGGGCCTGTGAATTCTTTTATGGCTGTTAAAGCCTTGAAGTCTGGTGTTGACAGAGGACATCGTGGAGCTGTTGGAGTGAGTCCAGATGATGGCCAGGAAGGTGATTAGAGGGCTGGAGCACCTGTCTTGTGAAGACAGGCTGAGAAAGTTGAGGTTTTTCAGCTTGGAGAAAAGAAGGCTCTGGGGAGACCCTATAGCCCCCTTCCAGTACTTGAAGGGGAGGGATTTTTTACAAGGGTCTGGAGTGAGAGAACAAGGGGTACTGGCTTTAAATTGGAAGAGGGGAGATACAGATTAGATATTAGGAAGAAATTCTTTCCTGTGAGTGTGATGAGACACTGGAACAAGTTGCCCAGGAAATATGTGGATGCTCCCTCCCTGAAAGTGTTCAAGACCAGGTTAGATGGGGCTTTGAGCAACTTGGTCTAGTGGGACCCCGTGGCAGGGGGGTTGGAACTATATGGTCTTTAAGGCCTCTTCCAACCCAGACCATTCCATGGTTCTGAGGTCTCTCACATTCATTGGGGGTGTCCCATTCAGATGCACCTGAGAATCCTCATTTCTCTGCCCCTGGCAGCTCACACTGGCTGTGTGGCAGCAGGCTGGGAGAGCTGCACTGACAGACTGGAGCAGCTGGGCTCCATTTCCCAGTTTAGTCTTGGTGAGGATTACTTGGACTGTTTTCTCTCTCAGTGACCCAACAGCTTCCCTCAACATACTGCTATTCAAGGTGGCTGGGAGGGCAACCATGTGTACAAGGCAGAAAACCTGTCTGGCTTCCCAGGAGTTTTTAGCTGCAAGGCAATCTATGGGCAAGGTAGTGTGATGGTTTCTGCATAAAGCTTTGCACTCCAAGCTTGGGAAGAACCCTTTCATTTGGCTAAATTTTTAGATATTTAATCCTGGATGGAAAAAACCTTTCCTGAAAAATTGTGATAGATCTCTTTGTGTATTTGCAAGTTTGCAAGTGTTGGGGTTTATTTATTTATTTATTTAACCCATTGCTTTAAAAAGAGTTTTCTTGATACCTATGTACCTCTGCTGGATGGTCTTACATATCTTTTTCAACCTGACCAATTTATGGATTCTCTTATTCCAAAATTATTACATGTTAGCAAAACTTCTCAGTGGGTCATTCTTCTAGAGGAGGAACAACTGTGTGATTTTTGATAACACAGAACTGACCAAAAAACAGCAGTGACTAAGATGAGCACCTTGGTTCTGTGGTACCAGCTCAGCAGGCAACAAATAAGATCACAGGCTCCTTTTGAATTGGGGAAAAAAGCTTGTAACTTGACCAGCATATGATGACTGTGAGAACAGGAACACCTCAGATCCACTGTGGGCAAACTGGTTACATAGGTGGTTGCAATTGCAGTCTCACTGGGGATACCAGGAGTAGTGTGAGATTTTCCCTGGAAGTTCATGTTCCAAACTGAAAATGATGATTGCATCCCAACTGCATTTTTCCTGAAACACTTTACTGCTGAAATACATTAAATGTCTTACATGTTATCCTTGTACTTCTGCTGTGTCAGAAGATTGAAGCCTCTTGCAGGCAACTTCTGCGTTACTGTTTATGACTCTGTCACACTTTATCTGAGCCAATTTGTTTGAGTAAGTGGACTGACATGATTTAATTCAGCTGTAGTGAGCAGGAATTTGACCTGTTGTCTGACGTGACTCACGTAAACCTCCTCTGCAACATTGTTTAGTGGTGGATTTAGCAGTGCTGGGTTGGACTTAATGATCCTAAAGGTCTTTTGATTCTCTGATTCAAAGCACTTTCACCATGTCACTGGTCAGGATCTGTGTTTCTTGTGGTGTTCAGCAGCAGCCCCACAATGTCCACCCCTGCCCCGTCCCAGCTGCCCTTTCCATTGTGCCTGCCTGATGTGTTTTTTGCAGTGATTCTTCAGCCACCTTCTTGTGTTTCCTTTGCTTTGAGGCATGTTCACCAGTTGGAGAGAGGAACAAGCTAGTCCTTTAGATGAGCAAAAGTGTGGGGCTATGTTTGCTTGCTCACCATGGTTACAAACATGTAATTGCTGGTAGTGGCAGCAGGTTTTTTGCAGTGTCTTGGGCTGATGCTGAAGCTAATGATAACGGCAGAACCAGCTGTGACCCTGGGCTCAAGGTGGAGAGGTCACTTCAAGGGCATTAAAAGCTTGTTAAATTTGGAAGCCCAACACCTGGCTTTTGTTGAAGGTATCACTGTCAGTTGTGGACAGTGTTTCATCTGTATCCTTCCTGAGAATGAGGCTTATCTGAAGCCCCACAAGTCTAAACAGCACTGGTTTCAGAGCGATGGGCACTGTAGCATGGATCGTACTTGCTGGTTTTCATAGCACAGATGCCAGGTAAGCTGTCACACTTCGGAGGGACTCTGATCAATCCTCAGTGGCCCCAAGCTAGTAGGGCCGTTCTTCCACCCTGCTGGGCCACATGACCTTTTGGATGTGAGAGGTCAAGCTGGCTTTCCCAGGCTACTTCTGCAGCAGCAGGCAGTGCACACGGAACCAGGAGCCCCAGAACATGGTCCAGCTCCCCCTCCTGCAGCCTATGCTGAACTTTCAACCAGTTGTACTTGAGCATGTTCCTAATTCTATGGTGGTAGACTTCCTCAGCTTGAAGTGATTGCTGCTCTCCAGGTTAAGTCTTGGCTGCAACTGTGTTTTAACTGGATTTGCTTTTTCTTGCAGGATTGATTTTCCTCCATCTCTATTTACATGGTGATAAGAAGTGCTAATCCCACTCCGTCAGTCTGGACTGATGAATCTGAGGAATAGAACAGGTAATTTCTAATTTGGTTCACAGCTTTCAGTGACTCAGGCAGTGAGAGCCACTCCCTCCCCATGGATTGCATTCCTGTTTTGGGACGAAAGAAACCATGGTTTCTTCTGCCCAGTTCACCTGCAGGGAGGGGGAGCCTTGCCCTGGAGCAGGGAAGGGAGGATAAGTTTTTGTAGCTGTTACTATGAGTGGCATCTTTGACTTCCCATCAGTTGTGGTTTGGGCTTTTTTTTTTGTTACTTTCATAGCTACCAAGTTGGAGTTTGGAGTAGCCCTCAAAGCAGGGAAAACCATTTGGATGTGCCCACTGAGGAATGCCCCTTAGTGCTGGGCAGGATGGGAGCGTTTTGCCAGTGAAAGTGCTCATGAGAGATGTAGGCAGGTTGTTGCTGATGCTGGGGATGGGTGCCATCTCCTGTTTGAAGCTATCAGGAGGTGGTGCAACCCAGCACGTGTCTAGGTGACACGGTGTGGAGTGACAGCAGCTGGTTTGCCTCCATCTGCCTGGCTCCCCATCCCTTGGGCTTAGCCCATCTGAGTCACAGAAAGCAAGTCACTAGTGAAGAAGTTACCCTTGTGTTGAATTTTCCATCATTTCACAGGGCTTGAGAGTACCATGGAGTTGTTGCCAACTGTTCTTACCTGTGCTGCAGGAACAGTTAGAATAAAGTAAAGCCAGCAGCCCACAATGACTGTTCTGCTGCAGAGACAGAGAGAACCTAGGGAACCCTGGTCACATTCCCTCCTTTTCACTGCTTAGTGCCAGGTGAGGAAGTTTTAGCTTGAAGTCTCAGGTGTGAGAGATTTCCCAGTGGCAGGATGTAGTTCAGACAGTGTGGTGGCAGTCCACCAGGGCAAGCAGCAGTCATTGTCTGCAGGGTGCTTTGGATGAACCTGTCTTTTATATCTCCTAGATGTCTTGCTAGTACCCTGCTGTTGCCTAATGCTAATCCTTTGGGGGATTAGCACAGTTTTCTTCTTGCTTCTATGCCCTTCCACTGGAAAAGAAATCTCAGATGCTTTTCAAGCATTGCAGTGCTTGATATCAACCAGCAGCCTCTCTGATCTCACAAAACAGAACCAGGCACAGTGCTGCCTGGTAGAGACATCAGAGTGAAGCTGGTTCTCACGTTTGCAGGGGAGATGCTGATTCCTGTGCAGAGTTCAGGGCAGGGTTCCCCATCCTGAGGCAGAGGGAGAGCAAAGGCAGGCTGAGGGACTGTTTTTTCCCTCTACAGTCATGCTTATTGTAGCTCTGTGTTTGGGCAAAAAGCAATGGTTTCACTTCTCAGGACTCAGTAGCTGATAAAGCAAGCAAGAAGCTTCCTAACAAGAGTGGAGTTTGGGAAAGGAAAGACTGAAACATCTAGAAGGTCATAAATACTGACCACTAAACTCCATACTCTGTCATCCTTGACAAGAGCAGGGAATACATCTCAGTGAGTACTTCTGTCTTTTCCTTTCAGAGCCCTGTGTTGTGTAAACGAACTGATGGATGAAGATGAGAAGGACAGGGCAAAGAGGTATGAAGGGGTGGAGAGAGCACTGAGACTGGATCTCTCCTGGGGGAGAATTGTGTCATCTGATGCTTGAAAAGTACTTGGGACCACTAATGTCAGAGTCAAACCCCCCATGCAGTTTACAGGCTGTAGATAGCAGACCACAAACAGCATAATTAAGTCACCATTTTCAAGCTTGTCATAGTGTGTTTGGCCACCCCTAATGACAGGTTAATGAACTGTGTGTTCCTTAAATTACATTGTCGTGCCCTCAAAACCTCATGCTATCCCATGACTATTTATTATCTTGATGCAGGACCCTTGACCTGTGATTTTACTCTGCCTACCCTGGGGTAGAGTTCCCCATGAAACTGAGAGAGCAGTCCTGCTTTAGCATGGATGTGAGCCTCTTTTCAGAGAAGCATTTGCTTAGTTCTAATTAGTCATTATACATGAGTGCTGAAACAGAGGTGACTGTGAATGTAAATGCTGGATCTGAGAACCTCCAAATGCCAACCTAAATATGAATGGAAGTGCTTTCTGCATACCACACTGGGTCTAGATCACAGGAAGCATGTATCATCATGAATACTCTGGTAAAGAATATTAATTACTACTGGAAGAGGTTGCATGAAAATAGGATTATCTCAGATATGAGCATTGGAAAGAACATTTTGGAAGAAACTGAATGGATTTGCTTTCTCATTTATTGTTTTTAATGGAGGGGAAGACCCTAATAAAACATTCTTAAATTGTATTAATGAAATCTGGAAACTAGTCTGTGGTTTCCGCAGCCAGACTCTTATGATTGCCAGTTTCATATATCATGGCAGCAGCCAGATACAGAAGCATGTGCTTGACTTTATTCTGCAGTTGTCTTTCCACAGTATTGTCTCTCTACAAGCTACTTTTGCAAGTACAAGTCAGAGAAAAAGGAATCCTTCATATTTTGACCTTTATATGTGTGTGTATTAGAGGCAAAACAAATGTTCATAAAAACGAAGTGGGCAAAACATGAGCTTGTATTTGCTAGGATTTCCCTTACTGAAGACATTTTGCCCATGACACCTTCACTTTGTTACCACCACTTTTGAAACACTGGGAACTGGTGCTGAAATGTCCATAATTATTTGGTCTTGCTCAAATGTATGTAAATAAGATTTGTTACCTCCAGGTGTTCCTTGCTGATGGTGAGCTCAGTCCTGCTTGCAAGGCTCTAAGCACCAGCAAGGCACTTACTCCCTAGCCTGATTTTAAACAAATGAGCAGTCCTGGCTGAGTTTACATTCTTGTTTGTAAAGTGTTTTGCTGAGACAGGGCTATTTACCTCTCCCTGGGTCAAGCTGTAGTTCCTTCACTTTTATTTAGCAGTGTTTGTCTTTCTGTCACCCAGGGCATCACGCAACAAATCTGAAAAGAAGAGGAGAGACCAGTTCAATGTCCTCATTAAAGAGCTTTGCACCATGCTGCAGGGCCACGGGCACCCTCTCAAGATGGACAAGTCCACAATACTGCAGAGAACCATTGACTTCTTACAGAAACAGAAAGGTACTGGTGGGCACTGGCTTGCTCCCATTGAAAGCCTGGGTCTGTGTCTGCCCAGCAGCCAGCTTCCACTCAGGAGCTGAAAACTGGTTTTCCCAAGTGTCCCAGACCCCCAGAGAGGGCATGAACCTAAGTGAGGGGCAGAATAAGGCACAGCAGTTGGCTTCAGGAAACAGGCTAGGTTTGACTACAGTGCTGACCAGTTACACGTAGATATACTTGCAAAGATGCAGTGCTGTGTGCTTCTTTGTGTAGTGCTATTGCTTCATTTCCCTTGCTGGCCTCCACAACCCCTGGCAAGCTTTGTGTGCTTGCAGAGCATGAGAGAGGAAGAGCTGAGGACCAGCAACTACAAAAGCAAAGGGAAAGGGGTTTCTGTGCCTTGTTCCCGGGTCTCCTGGGGTAGGAAATGACTGGCTGCAGCCTGTCCTGCTGCCTGGGCACTCCCATCAACCTTCCTGAAAGAGCTGCAGAGTCATGGACACCCTCTGCTCACAGTCATGCTCAGCTACTCTGAAATTAGCCCCTTGACCTTAATTTTTGAAGGATTTCTCCAGACTACCTAAAATGTCTCCCTTTTCTTGATTTCTACTGCATTTGTATCGTGATGGGGTGGAAAATGACTTGCATACTAGAAAGCTTTGTGTAGAGAATGATCTGAGGATGATTCCTGTGAAAGCCTCTTAAAAGAAATGTAGTGTTACTTGAAAATGAAAAAAAAAATCCAACTAGCATGAGTCATGTTGCTTTTTTGATGTTTCCTCTTTAAGAAATCACAGCACAGACAGAAGCCTGTGAGATTAGACAAGACTGGAAACCTTCATTTCTTAGCAACGAGGAGTTCACCCAGTTGATGTTAGAGGTAAGAAGAAATTAAAGCTGCATAGATTAGTGGGAAGTAATCAGTTCAGTGGAGTAGTTCAGAGATGATAGCTCCTTTTTCACCTCTAGGTTCCAGTGGTAATGATTTCTCCTCTGCTGGTACAAATAATACAAACCTGACAGAGCCCACTGTTGTGCTAAGTGCTTTGCAGAGCCAGAATTAAAAATGTGATTGCTTCCCCTTCAAGATAAACAGCTTTTCATTTAGCAACGAAGACCAGTTTGTCCTGGTGAGAGAGGAAAAAGAGAATTGCCCTTCTCAGAAGAGCTGCTACAGCTTGCAGTTTTAGCACAAACTTGGAAGGACCTGAAAAAAGCAGAGCAGCTCTGCCTCTCACGTCCCATTAGACAGTAAATGCTGCCTGTGCTGCTGGTGGCTGTGCAGGGCTGTACTGGGGGTACGAGTGCTCTGTCTTTTGCTTGCACTGCCTTTAAGGTTGCATTCGGGAGAACAGCTCTGAGACCTTCCCCCTCTAAAATCTAGAAGCACCTGGTGAGCCCACATTTTGAGTTTCTTAAGGGTGTTGCCTTGGGTTCATGCTGCTCTGGGGGGACGTCACCTGCCCTGCATGGGCAGCTGCTCCTCTTTGCCCCACCAAAATAAGGGTGTATGCTGGGCTGAGCTGGGAGGGGCTGCAGTGTCTTCGTTACTCCTTTTCATCAGGATGTCATGACTCACCTCCCTGGAAAAGTCTGTTCATTCTTTCTGGGAATTTCTCTCACCAAACAAGCTAGTTTGTTCCAGCAGAATCAAAACAAATCCCCCCCCATTAGAAATGGTGGGGGAAAGAGAGTCCTTTAATAAACTGTTGGCTTGCTGGACTAGGTTAGACCATTGACCAGTTTACTTAAAATCAGTGGGTTTTTCCAGAGAGGGCTTATTTTCAGCAAAGGCAGAGTATGACTGAGTTGGGGAAGATGGTGAATGCTGCACCTTCAGCTCCCTGTAGCCAAGCTGCAGAGCAGCCTAACAGAGTATTCAGAGGAGCTGGCTTTGTGCACGGTGCTGAGCAGAGATTAAACCTCCCAGATCTCGGTGAGTGTTAGAGAAGCACAGAGACAGACACTGGGTCAGTGGTACAAGAAGATGTTGTGAAGAACAGAAAGAACACCCAAAGAGGAATGCACATGCAGTGACCTACAAGGACAGAAGTCCAGGACAGAAACCATCATGAATAAGAAACAGAAAACAAAACAAACTTTAGAATTATTTATTATATGTCACTAGCCTAAGAAATGAGAGCTTTATCTCAAATAAATAAGGCTTTAGATCTTTTATATATTGTCCATAAATTACTAAAAAGAGTGCCTTGTATAATTTTTCAGTCTCTGCTTATCCATCTATCCACAGCACTGGGTTTACCAGGGTGATGATCATGATCATCTATCAGTTCCTTACGCACCAAATTGTTTAACTATTGTGTAATTCAGAGCACATAATGAAGTTACTGAAGTCACTAGGATTGCGTGGGTGTAGAAATTCTAACCACTGCTTGTCTTGCTTAATCTTAAGTAAATATTCACTAGATTAAAAATACAAGTCAATTTAATATTAATGAGCAAATAAGAAAGTCAGAAGAGTGTTGAATTAGACAGCATATGTCATTTTTAATTTTTCTGTATTGAGCTTTAATTTCTGTAATGGATTTATGTTCATTTTAGGCTGTTAGAAGCATCAACACAGAATAAATAAGCCTATAATATTTTAAGTTGTTCCCTTGCTTAATCATTTGTGTTTGTTTGGTTTTTTTTCTTTCCCTTGCCTTTTATCATTAGGCCCTGGATGGCTTTCTCATTGCTCTTACCACTGATGGGATTATTATTTATGTCTCTGATAGTGTTTCATCTCTGCTTGGACACCTACCAGTAAGTTCTGACAACACAATGCGTTGGAGAATCGTTCCCCTGCCTTACACAGGGTCAGGGCTGGTTTTGTCCCACCAAAGAGGCAACTGACTGGGGGTGGGGATAAACTCACAAATTCTTGGGGAGTTTCTCAGGCTCCTGTGAGTAACAGATTCTCTCAGGGTCTGTGAGTAGCTAAGAAACAGTCCTGTGCAAAACGACTGTACTTGCAGCTCACCCCTTGGCAGCACATCTGAAGGAGGGTCTGGGTGGTGTTTATCCCACCAGGCGTATGGAAAACCTCCTGCTTGTGAATTCTGTGCCTGCTGAAACTCGGCTCAGATCATTTATAGGTGATTTCAGGGCTGAATGTGTGCTCTTCCAAGGGCAGTTTTTTCCTGCTTTGAGCTCATGGTCTTTAGTAACACATATGTGGCTTCAGTGTTCTCTGGGAGAATTTCTAGATGGCTGTTGGGTGCAGACGTTTCTGCTGGTCCCTGAAAACTGTTTTTATTTTTTATCTAGTGCCAAGCATGAGGCACCAGTGACACTATGTAAGGGCAAGTTTGAACACATAGTTAACTTGGCTGTGCAAAGAAACAAATATGTGCTGACATTTTGGTAGAACCCCTTTAGTCAGGAAGTGTGAATTCATCAGCACTGAAACACTTGCAGGTTGAGTTGATTTTGCCAGATGTTCAGCCTAGAAGACAAATGGAGGATGTGAGGAGGAGCTCCCACTTCTGTCTCATGCTTCCAATGGGAAATGGTTCAAATTTTCATTTTTATATATTTTTCATTATGTTGTGTTCCTGTGGTACCAGGGATTCTTCCAGCTTGCATCTGGCTGAACTGAAGGGCAACCTCTGGGACCTGTTCAACCATTTGCAAATAGGTAGCAACCCTGGGGTAAAATAACCTAAGGGTTATATTCTGCCCTAGATCCATTTGCAGATTGACAGGGCTTCCTTGCTTTAAGCACCCACCCTGCATCCCTGCTCTGTTGCGGGATGCAGGCAGAGGTGGTTGTGCCAGGCTGCACTGCTGAACATGACAAAGCATTCTTTTGTATCAGTCAGATTTGGTGGACCAAAATATATTAAACTTTCTGCCTGAGCGGGAGCAGAGTGAGGTGTACAAGCTCCTTTCTCCACACGTGCTGATGACAGATCCTGTTGCAGCTGATTTTCTGAACGGTAAGCTCTGCTCTTGTCTCCCAGTCTGGGAAGTTTGCCAAAGGCCAACAGCTCCTGGGGGAGCCTGCATAGGGCTCTCCAGCCATTTATCTCTCCTGCCTGCCACTTCTGTCTTGCCATGGTTTCTGGGTTTTACTGCAGCACATCATCTAATGTTCCTGCCTGACCCTCGTATTTGGTCTTTGATTTGCATCGTAGGACAGTGAAGTTGCCCTCATTAGCTATTTTATGAGCACAGGATGCTGGACTGAGCATGTGAAAGGAGTGAGAGATCTGGGGAAAGGAAGAGGGTAGGAGAAATCCCAAAGGGTTTTGACAGAGTCTTTGCTCCTTAGGAAGCTTGCATGGCTCAAGACACTTAGGAAACCCTACATCTAATTTAAGGAACAGCCTTCCTATCTGAACAGTCCATCCAGATCTCTATTTTTGGCTACTGTCCCACCCCCAAAATGTCCCTTTCCCCCAGAAAATGACCCAACACCAGAGCAAGCAGCAATATGTTCCAAACAGCAACGTTTCACCAAAGCCATTTTGGGAGCCCACTTTCCTGGAGGGGTTGCCATGGCCAGGCAGTGCTGACCTTCCCACCCTGTAAGCAGCAGGGGGAAACAAGCAGCCTTGGTGCTGGTGCTCTGCCCTGGGCTTCATTTCCTTCCAGCTGAAGTCTGCATGGTTTAATCCATGGAGTTCAGACCTTGGGCAGAAAACTGAATAAGAGCTTGGCACAGTGCCCTCCACCGTTAATGGAAAAGCTTAGGGTGACTTTAGTGCCCTTTGGATCTGGGTCCCACTGAGCAGTGCCAGAGCAGAGTACTGCAATATCCCTTAACTGCTTCTCATGAAGTCATACATGCATGAGGGCTGGGGAAATGCCACTGCCTGGATGCAGGTAGCTGTAAAGCCACAGGAGAAAGGGTGAGAATACATTTCCTTAAGCAGAACAAGCTGATCCTTGCTCCTGAGGGTTATATATTTACTTCTGGGTACTTCTGGGTATTGAGAGCATCCTGGCAGGGTGTGCCTGGATAGCACAGCAGCAGGGTTTACCTAGATAGATCCAGTATATGGGGTGTGCTAAAGTGCAGACTTCCAGTAACACTGTGTGTGTCTCCCTCTCTTTCATTTCAGCGGAAAAACAAATAGAGTTTTGCTGCCATTTAGCAAGAGGCAGCTTGGATCCAAATGAACCCTTGATGTATGAATATGTGAAATTTGTAGTGGATTTTAAATATTTTACTCATGGTAAGTTATCACTCCAGCCTACCTTTAGCTCTCAATCTCTCTCCTTTAAATTGTGTGTTGATCTGTAGCCTCCTAAAGGTCTCATTTCAGCTGAAAATGCTCTGTAATTGTTGGGAATGGAATAAGCTGGAAATATTTTTACCTAAAAGTGGTGTGGAGGCTTTTGGTCAGGAGAGTGTACCCTTCTGCACACTGTGCTTGAAGAAGCGATACCAGACTGATCCTACCTCCGTTTAACCCACTGCCAGCTGTAAAGCAGCCCAGTTATCCAAATAACCAGTAAAAGGTGCCATCCTGTTGCACTTGTGGCTATCAAATGACACTTTTAAAAGATTACATAGTTTGAGAAACCTGTAACATTTTGAATCTTGCAAATGTTGAGCTAGAGAAAGGCTGGCAGGGGGACTGTAACTGCACGTTGTGAGCTGCTCAGTGCTGGTTTATGAAGCTCTCCTGCAAGCCAGGGGTGGGTGGTTGTGACTGCGTAACTCGGAGCCCAAAGGGTCATGCTTTAAATAACATCAGTGTGTATCAGTGTGGCATCACCTTGTGGGTAGGAGGAGGTTGTTGCTTGGGTTTCATCTATCATTGCACCTGTCTTAACATGAAAAGAAAGCTCTCCTTCCTCTTCCTCTTAAATAAATTGTCTGGTTGTGTCTAGTGCCTACACCCTCCTGTAATGGCTTTGAGTCAGCTATTGCACGAGCTTTCAGGTCAGCCACGGAGGAGCAGATTTGCCTCGTAGCGACTGTTCGTCTTGTCACACCACAGTTCTTAAAGGTGAGAGCTCTGGGACTGGGGGGCCCGGGAAGTGCCACGTGGCAGAGCTGCTGCTGGGGCCACCAGTCCTGCGAGTGGCTGTGGCCTCCAAGGCCTGTGTTCTGCAGCACAGACTGTGCTTTGTGGGGTGGTAGGTGAGAGAGGATGCCCCTGGGTTTGTGAGAAGGAGATATCAGTAAGTAGTTTGAATGCCAAGATACAAAGCACACGCTGCTTTAGAGAGAGGTGATTTTGTGATGGGGTGTCTCAGAGCAGGAGGCACCAGTACAAGGTGACCAGATAAACTGCTTGAAAACTGGCAGCCTTTGAAGAAATAGATACCCTTGCTCCTTTGTGTAAGGCCACCAGCATCCTGAAATGCTGAACACCATGTCTCACGGGCTCTTTCTGCTGGTCCCTAAGTGTCCTGTGGCACAGTGTAATGGTGACAGGGATAATGACCATAGGTGCTTCCTGCCAAGGAGAGAATGAGCCAGCTCAGTGTCAAGTTGGAGCTGGTTCTGTCACCCATCTTCAGATACCAATATTTATCAAAAGCTGGGGAATTTTGCCTACAGACTGCAAGATGAGGCCACTGGAGTATTCATCTTAGGCACTTTTCATAAGTGTGTGCATCTATAAAGCAAGGCTCATGCATTCCTTAGAGGAAAATAAGTCAAGTGCTCTAAAAGCACTGTATTTGCTAGGGTTTGTTATACTAAAAAGATGCATATTTGGTCTTGATATAAGGCTCCTTTTGTCATTTCATGGAATTAAATGTCTGAATATGTCAACTGTTTTGCAGGAGCTCTGCAATGTTGAAGAGCCATGTGAAGAATTTACATCAAGGCATAGTTTGGAATGGAAGTTTTTATTCTTGGACCACAGGTAAGAGACTTGGTTTTAGTCACTGAAGAATAAACAAACTGTAGTTGAAAAATAAAAAACTCTGTGTAGCTATTGTCTGAGATCCAAAGTAGAATAGCTCTAATTTAATGCAACTGAGTAAGTAGTAATACTCTGAACTTACTTATTAGGCATCCTTGAATGCTTTACTCTTTTTCAATATTTTAGACAGGTGAGAAACCTTATAAAGTAGTGGGAAAATGTCTGGAAAAATGTCTAGAAAAATGTGTAACTTCACATTTTCAGAACTAGGTGATTAATGTTAAGATTTGTAAAAGAGCCCTAGATCCGTTATTCCACTGCCTGGTGGAGTGAGCTGGTTTTCCAAAAGGCTGTGTCCCAGCAGCTTCTCTGAATACAGTGAGTGGGTGCTGCCTTGAAACCCATCAAAGGGGCTTTTGATGAATCTGGATTATGACTCAGACAGGCATCTCTCTGCGCCTGCTGCTCGCAGCCCCTCCAACCCCACTGATGTCCTCAGTGAGGAAGTGGTGGTTTCTGAGAGTAAATTAAAGAAATACAGATGCTGAGGCAGAATTTGTGAGAGCCCTGGATGTGAACAGTGAGCCTAGACCCAAGAAGGAGCAGGGATTGTATGGGTCATTGTATCACAAGTTCAAACCTCTCTCTAGTACAGTCCTTAGGATGCCATGAATGCTGTTGAGTATTTTTTGCTGTTTTCTTGCTCATTTGTGTGGACTCCCAGCATGTGACGCTGAGGGGTGCTCAGCAGGGGCAGAGGGTACCCAGCAGGAGCTGACATCAGGACCTTTGCAATCATGACACCATAAATTAGAGACTGATAATGCAAAAAGCACTCCATAGGTCTGGCTGAACATTGGAAAGCTAAGAAAAATCTGTATTCTGGGCCTATGTGTAAATTTGTGGAAAGAAAACCTGTCAATTCTGATGATGATCTATTTCTCTTCACTGTGGTCTTCTCCTTATCATCCCTTCATTTATTAAAAAGCAGCACCTGAAAGGCTCTCTGAGGACACTGCATTTCCATTTGCACAGGGAGTTGCAGGCCTCAAGACTGGAACTTAAACTAATAAGGCACTTCTAAATTGTTCCACAAGCAAAGCTGCTCCTTGTCAAAAGACAGATGAGGAGCATTTTGTGGTTGCTTTCTCATTTAAAGAATTCTGGTGAAAGTCAGGAAAGCATAATACTTTCCTGATCAGCCTAAATGTTTATCTGATGTGCATCTGAAAGACATTATTGTCTTGAATAGAAGCATGTCATTAAAGATAGGAGAGACACTGGCATATTCTGCCAAAGAGATAGCAAGGAAGGACACTTTAATAAATACACATATTATCATCATTAACAGAAATCTGGGTCACATGAGGAAAAGGAACACAGTGCTCTATGAAAAGTTATTTGAATAAATAAAGCTGTATTGTGGCAGAGACCACTGTGTGCTAAGCACGCTCTGTTTCAAGAGATTTGCCATCAGAGAGCGTGGAGGACTGGCTTTTGCAGCCAACCCCTTTCCATGACAAACTGCTCAGGGTTGTGGGGAGAAGCTACAGACCTGTCTGGGCCCTCTTCAGTTGAAGTATGGGGCTGGGTCATTCAGCCAGCACAGGAGAACTTCCCATATTCATATCCAGAGTACTCAGGATTGATCCATCCATACTCAAATGTACTTAATCAATTTGTTGCTCACATTCTTGGCCACTTTATGGCATTTACCTTCCTTATGAGGGTCACTCAACACACCAAGAGAAAGGCAGCAGGGGAGGCAGGTTGGATGGGCCATGGCACCTTCAGACTGCCCTGGTTTTGAGATGTTAACCATTTCACTAACACACCCTGTCTTGTTCCTGAGGGACACGCTGATCTTGGCAGGTGAGCCTCAAGCCATCAGCACATCCAGCAGCCAAAACAAATAGGTGGAGCCAAATAAGTGCAAGTCCTGCCTCACCAAATAAGTGCAGTGCTGGAGTTGGTGCAAGCCGGAGTGTAGCTGAGCCAGGGGACGGAAGGAGGGATGCTGACATAGGGACTAGGGGCAAAAGTAGTGTTATTTTTCCTCAGATTTCAGTGTTGTTTCATAGTCATAAGCTAGCAGGCTCCAGTGAGGGCCATGCATAAGCTCAGTGTTGTTAGTACACCTGCTTAAAAAATAAATAAATCCTATTTTGCCTAGAAAATGACAAATCTAGAATTAACAGCAAAATAGTCTGGTAAGTCATTGCAAGGTGCCCATCTCAATACTTCCTCTATTTCTTCTCTACTTGCCATAGAAATAACAGTTCTTAAAATTAATCCCATGCCTATTCTTATTTTTACTACTAGCATAGAAACTTTTTTTTTTTTTTTACTGCTTATAATTTTCCATAGGAACAATTACTTTTTCTTTTACCCAAGCTGGTCCTGACATGCACTGCAGCTTCCCACTTACTCTTTCTCCTACAGTTACTACCCAGATGACATTTACATCGAATATACTGGATAATTTTACTCAAGCTCCAAGTTATTACGCACAGGAGCAGCCATAGCATTTCTTAAGCTGTGTCTCACAAGCGTGCTTGATGAATTGAGTCACTTGCATACGTACATGCCTCTCTCTACACCCACATAATGAATAGGCTATGAAGCAGTAAACACATGCCTTTTCATTTTCTCAGTTTTTACCTCTCTCTCACTGGTTTGGGTTTTCTTGTTTGGTTTGTTGGTTTTTGTTGTTGTTGTTGTTGTTTTCTGCTTGACTATGAAAATACATCATTGTGCCTGTGAAAATCCACTCCTGATTTCCCTGCCAAGTGAATGTATGAGATGGTTTTGCTCAGTAGTATTGCAGCCTGTCTGCCTGGATGTCAAAATGTCAGGTTTTGTGCTCACTCCCTGCTCTTTGCTTCCTTTCTAGGGCTCCACCTATTATAGGATATTTGCCCTTTGAGGTTCTGGGAACATCAGGGTATGATTACTACCACGCAGATGACCTGGAGCTTCTTGCTAGGTGCCATGAACACTGTGAGTTCCTCTCCCTTTACAGTGTGCCTGTCTTTGATCTTACCTGTCACTCATGCACAACCTTTTACTGTTGTCAAAAAAGGCATCTTTATCTGGAGCACGAGGGAATTCTCTCTTCCCATGACAGACTGTCATAGCCAATGCTTGCTGGGGAGGTGGAATCCCTGCAGAATTCACTCAGATCAGGAACTCTTTGTGCACGTTTCCCAAAGTGACAGATACCCTGTTTGAGAACAAGTTGTCTGACAGTGAAATGAGGTTAACAGATAGGAAGCCAGAACTGTTCAACTCTGCCCCCAGTTGGTGAGAGCAGCCCCAAACCCTTGGTGTCTTGCTGATTGTCACAGCTCATGGGGTCTTGCTGTTTCTCTGGGCTCTGGAGTCAGGCAGGAGGCTCAGCTCACCAACAACCAGGTTGATCAGGTATGGGTTTGGTGATCAGGAAGTGAGGTGGATTAGGAACTGGTTGAAAGGAAGGAGTCAGAGAGTTGTAGTCAATGGGGCAGAATCTGGTTGGAGGTGTGTGACTAGTGGAGTCCCACAGGGGTCGATACTGGGACCGGTGTTGTTCAACATCTTCATCAACGACCTGGATGAGGGTATAGAATGTACCCTCAGCAAGTTTGCTGATGACACTAAGCTGGGAGGAGTAGCTGACACACCAGAAGGCTGTGCTGCCATTCAGAGAGACTTAGATAGGTTGGAGAATTGGGCGGGGAGAAACATGATGAAATTCAACAAGGGGAAGTGCAGAGTTTTACATTTGGGGAAGAACAACACCATGTCCCAGTACAGGTTGGGGGCTGAACTGCTGGAGAGTAGTGTAGGTGAAAGAGACCTGGGGGTCCTGGTAGACAGGAGGATGACCATGAGCCAGCAATGTGCCCTTGTGGCCAAGAAGGCCAATGGCATCCTGGGGTGCATTAGAAAGGGTGTGGTTAGTAGGTCAAGAGAGGTTCTCCTCCCCCTCTATTCTGCATTGGTGAGGCCACATCTGGAGTATTGTGTCCAGTTCTGGGCCCCTCAGTTCAAGAAGGACAGGGAACTGCTCGAAAGAGTCCAGCGCAGAGCTATGAAGATGATTAAGGGAGTGGAACATCTCCCTTATGAGGAAAGCTGGGAGCTGGGTCTCTTTAGCTTGGAGAAAAGGAGACTGAGGGGTGACCTCATCAATGTTTACAAATATGTAAGGGGTGAGTGTCAGGGGGACGGAGTTAGGCTTTTCTCGGTGATGACCAGTGATAGGACAAGGGGTAATGGGTGTAAATTGGAGCATAGGAAGTTCAAGGTGAATATCCGAAAAAATTTTTTTACTGTGAGAGTGACAGAGCACTGGAACAGACTGCCCAGGGAGGTTGTGGAGTCTCCCTCACTGGAGACATTCAAAACCCACCTGGATGAGTTCCTGTGTGATGTACTCTAGGTGACCCTGCTCTGGCAGGGGGGTTGGACTAGATGATCTCTCGAGGTCCCTTCCAGCCCCTAAGATTCTATGATTCTATGATTCTATGATTCTATGAACCTCAGTCTTCATCTGAAGCCCATCGCTGTTACTGGGATCAGTAAAGAAATTAGTCCTGATATTTAACAAAATAGAGGTGTGCAGGTGAGTAAAAATACTTGGATTAGTGTGGCTTGGTAAATTCTGTTCATCAGGTTGACCACTCTGGACAGACATCATGCCTACTCTGAAGTGAAATGGGTTTCCTTAAACCACATTTGTATTTTACTTTGCATTAATTATGGGTATTTTAAGTGAGCATGTTGGATTTTGTTCTCCCAGAGTTGAGGAACAATTAATGCAGTTATTTAATGTAGTTGCCCTTGTTATATTCCAGTTGTATTACACCACTTAAGATTTCTCTGGACAGACTCTGATAATACGTTCCAGATCTGGTGTGTTTAGGTTCTCTCTTGGAAGAAAACTCAGTTAAACTGATAAAATTCCACTCTCCTTCTTTTTTTTGTGCCATTATTAGGATCCTGACTTCAAGTTCCCAATCTTTGAAATGCATTCTCATGTACTTGTGAAAGGCAAATACTTTGTTGAATTAGTGTTATTTATGTTTATTTCAGAGGAGCCCGGGAATAAGTTGTAAGAATGTAGCTAGTTCTGTAGTTACACCAGTTATTAGTTATGAGAATAGTCTCCAAATAGCAAAGTGCACTCTTGAAAATCAGTAGCAGAAAAGAACCCAAATAAAAGCTGAGTATGTAATTGTGTATCCTCTGTCAAGTTTATAAAGCCACAAGAGTCATTTTAGTGTGACAGCAGACTGCAGGAGGGGGGTGGGACTGGGTGGTTATTCTAATCATCTTTGCACCATGACATTTCTGTTGGCAATAAATTGCTTTCTTTTTTGTTTAACAGTGATGCAGTTTGGGAAAGGAAAGTCCTGTTACTATCGGTTCCTGACCAAAGGCCAGCAGTGGATATGGCTGCAGACACACTACTACATCACCTACCACCAGTGGAATTCCAAACCCGAGTTCATTGTCTGCACTCACCTGGTAGTTAGGTAGGAGCAAGCACCAAGCATTTCACAGTGCGTGTCCCGTGGGCTCAGCTGTTCTTATTTTATAGTCCTGTTTTGTGTTAGCCATATATTTGCTGTGCATATCAACACACTAAGATAGTGTGTAGTTCTGTAAAACTACTGAGACAGGGAACATGGGAAAAGCAGAGTGTATTTTCATTGTTTATATTTTTTTTATTCGGCAACCAAGCCAAAAACCTGGAAGCCACTGTTGGTCAAGGTTGTCAGTGTGTTGTGTTCCCCTTTTATCCCTAGAGATGGGATAAAGGAAGAATTAGAGCTGTTAAGAATCAGGAGGTTTTATGGTTGTGAATGGGATCATACATCTCCCACAAAGCCTTTTCATCAGAGCTTTAAATATGGATGAGTCGAAGTTTGCTGTCCTGCTGGCCTCGTTCCTCACCTGAAATCCAGCCCAGCATCCCCCTCTAGTGGGCAGCTCCTCGCCCTGGGCTGCAACCCCGCGCTGGGAGGTGATGTGGGGGGATGCTCTGCCGCACGCACCTTCTGGAGGGGAATCGGCTTGATTCCCGCTGGCATCTCAAAAAAGATTGTGGTAAAACTAAGGATATATTTACTGAAGGGCTTGAAAAATAACGACATAGTGGTTTGCTCTATTAACTCGAGTAAACATGCTGCTCACTGCATCTTTCCTTACTGCCAGGAATCAATTTGTGAATTTTTTTTCTGGTCCCTCTTTTTCTTGTCAAACATCCGGAAGGACAAACTCTAGTAAACTGGGATATTCTGAAACACAGACTGAGAACCCCTTACACCACTAACAGGTGTAAGTGATTTGAGCTGTGTGTGCTGGTACAAACTACGTCAAGTGTTATCATAAGCAGATGTTAGATAGAGAGGTTGCTTCTGAGTTGTGTTGCTTCTGCCATCCTTCAGGGAATTTGGCTTCACTTTAAGCTTTGACTTTATTGTGCATGAAGTTGTTTGTTCTTTCTGCTTCCATTGCCTCTAGTGATACAGTCCTGCACAGATTTTGAAAGTCAATTCTGTCTCATGTAGTTGAGGTTTAGAATAAATTAGTGAAACACACGAGTTAGGATGTGATTTCAGAAAAAAATCACTGCCTACAATGAAATAAGTGGGGTTGATTCAGGAACCTCTCTTGCCTCCCACAAAGGTTATAACCCGTTAATAATTCAGCACCCTAATCTCTGGCACCTTCCAGTGCCCATGATCCACACTCAGTCTTTAAAACATCCTCTCAAACTTATCCCAGTGGTAAATCATGTGATGTTGTTTACTATAAATATTGTTTAATGGGAAAAAAATAGTAAGGAAAGCAAATACACAGTTAGAGGCACGTTCCTGCGGATTCCTGCACCTCATGTTGCACCTGGGCAGTCACTGGTTTGTATTCAGAGCTGCCACCCGAGTGAGGGATGTTAACTCTGATGTTAACTGCATGGGGCTGTGTCCCTCCTCAGAAGGAGGGGGGGACCAGGCCTCCTCCTCCCCAGGGCACTGACTTAGGTCTCACTGAGCTACTGTGCAAACAGCAAAAAGCTGATTCCTAATCATCAGCAGGTTAGGAAATGAATGTACATTTGCTATGGCAGTTTGCCTGCAAAGAAGATATGGGATCATTTTTCTGCCTGATTATGGAAAATCCTAGTGAAGATAAAGACACCTATTTTGCCTTCAATAACCAAGTGCACTTTGCTTTTCAATTAGTTTTCCTTGAAGGCATCCAGGGCCAAAATTTGGAAAGGAGTGTCTATATTTGTGCTTGGAATGATTAGTGCAATTAATCATATAGGCTGTGCAGTGCAATTAATCACATAGGCTGTGCAGTCCTGGCTGTGATGGGACTGGGACACTGCCCTGTTGTTTTCTAATCTGTGGATACTCAGCATGTGCAGTTATTCACAGATTGCAAGGCTGTGTGATGATGTTCCTCTAAGCACCTTGTATAGAAGAAAGGGTGTGTGTTTGTGTGCTGTGCAAAGCTTGTGACTCGACATGAAAACTGTGTGGTGATCTGTGTGGTAGGATAGTTACCATACAGTAACAATATCCAGACCTAAAAATGGGATTTAAAGTAGTTATTATTATTTTTCAGTTATGCAGAGGTTCGAGCTGAAAGAAGGAGAGATCTTGGCCTTGAAGAATCATCAATTGAACTGGCATCCTCTTCTGTAAAGGTACCACATGCCTTCACAGTCGAATGAGTAGATATTTAAACAAAATGAGTTATCACTTGTGAATTTTAGGAAAATATCTGTTCTTCTTCACCTTTACTCCCATCTCTTCCCAAGCCTCCAGCTGTGACCAATAACTTCCAGGGCTGGAATCAGTCTGGCATCCCAACACCCTTGCCCAATTAACAAAATCATTTGAATTTCTTTTCAGTTCTTTCTCTCAGTAGTTCACAAATAAAACCAGTAATCCAAGTAATTTCAAGTGGATTGTTGTGTAATTATCATTCCATCAGCCTCATTGCTCTTCAGACAATATTTTGTAGAAGCTGTTCATGGGTTGTATAGGGGAAGCTGTCTGAGAGACCTTTTGCACCTGGGCAAGGACTATCTTGCAAACAGCTGCTTCTCTGTCACCACAGCACACTTCCGTGTCTTTTTCCCCTTTTCACATGATAGCTGAGATATTTTTCTGCAGACCTTAAGCTGCATCTGTTGATGTAAGGGAGCTGGAGGAGAGGCAGAGCAATTTGTCCCATTGCTTGATGTTCTGCAGGGCAGTGGGATGGTGGGGAACTCCCTGGGAGGTGGTGGGGCCTTCAGGCATGGTGGCATGGCCAACGTGGTCACCCACATCCTGCAGGTGAAACAGTTTCCTTCATTCAACCACTTCCCTGGGCAGCCTGTTCCAGTGTTTGATAACTCTTTTGGTGAAGAAGGTTCTTCTAATATCCAATCCAACCCTTCCCTGGCGCCAATTGAAGCCATTTCCTCTTGTCCTATGGTTTGTTACTAGGGATAAGTCACCAAGCTCCCTCTCACTACAACCTCTTTTCAGGTAGTTGTAGAGAGTGATAGGGTCTCCTCTCAGCCTTCTCCAGGCTGAACAACCCCAATTCCCTCAGCCTCTCCTCACAGCACTTGTGCTCCAGACCCTCCATGCGCCCAGCCCCGTATTTTTCTCTGGAAACACGTGGTGGGGGGGAGAGGCCCCCTCCGGTGCCATCCTCTTCTGATGACCTCAGTGCTTGTGCTTTGCTCCCCACAGAGCCACAGCAGCTACCTGGACGTGGGGCCATGCGGCAGTAGCCAGGACGCCAGCCGGGAGGGAGTGTCCCTGTCATCCCACAGCTCCCGCCGCTCCTCGCACACCGCGCTCTCCGACTCCGCATGTAGGTGCCTGCACAGCTCGGGGCTGAGGGGTGGGCTGGAGGGCAGAGCAACCTCCAGAGCACTGGGGTTTGGTAGGTGTGACCAAGTCAGGGCAGGAGGAGTCGCTCAGCACCAGCACATACTGTGCCCTAACAAGTTATGGTTGGGCCACCTCAAGGGCTTTTCTTAAAATACTCGCCAGGGCAGAGTGGGAAAGTTAATTTGGAGGCATCCATGGAGGGAAAGCCAGAACAGGGCATTAGCATCAGAAGGGAGCCCCGTGAGTCAGGTGGGGAGCCAGAAGGACCACGGAGGGGCAGTCTGGGGACCTGGATTGGCAATGTTTGGGTTGCTGCTCATCTGCATACACAGATCTGGGGCTTGTTCAGGATACTCAGGCACGGGTCTGCCACATCACAGTAAACCATCTCTTTTCCAGCCACCTCATCCATGCGACACACAGACACCAGCACCCCCACCCGGCCGTCAGTGCCAGGGGGGCAGGTGGAGAAGGCAGCCCTGCGGCTGGCGCCGGCGGGAAGCGCTCAGGTCGGGGGTCCCTGCAAGGAAAAGCCCTTCTGATGCCATTCAGAAATGAACTTGACAAACCTTGATCTTGCCTCAGAGAGGCTGGATCCCCACCTCTGAGTGTGCTGGGCATGCTGTTGGTCAGCAGAGCTGATAGAGAGCTTCTCTTGGCTCCTCTGCTGCCTCCCTTCTGGGTTCAGTTTCCTCCTCCAGGCCAAACGCCTTTCCACACCACAAGCCCTCTTTTCTTGGGGTATGTACATGTGAAATTGCGTTTATCCAGTAGTGGATCCTGACACCAAGGATTTGCAGTTAGCGGGGGGTATGCAGGAGCTGAAATTCTCCCTTCAGACCCATCCTCAGATCTCCACGTGGAATTGTTTAATTCCCTTCACTTCTTCACCACCGCTATGAGCTGGTATCGCACCAGCTCTGCACGAGAGGTGTGATACACCTTCAGTAAGGCAAAGTTTTCACTTCTAGGCTATAGCAACTCCTCAAGGCCCTGGTGACCACCTCCCTCAGCATCCTGTGGCCCAGACAGTGCCCTCCCAGCACACCGTGATGGTACGTGGTTTATTTTCATTAAATGCACTGATACGGACAGTCAGCGGGGCAGACTTGGCAGGTCCAGTTCTCTGCTCTCTTACCTCCTTGCTGGCTGATCCCAGCATGGGGGCAAGGTTTCAGTGCCCTTTCTGTTGCTGTTACTGAGATTTACCTGCATCCAAATTATTGCAACCACTTATTTCAGTGAGGAGACAGAGCAGGTGGGACACCCAAGGAAGTTTTACACTTGTCAAAACCGTGGGGGGCTGCTGAAGATTCTGAACTGCTAGAAGCTGGTACAGTGATGAAGAGTTTTATTGCCCTGGTAGAGGAAAGGAATGTCATGGGACTTGGGCTAGGAAGAGGAAAAAACAACAACAAACAAACCACAAGAAAAATGTGGGAATCGTAAACCATGAGGCCCATCCTCACAGGGCTTTGAGGTCAGTGTAGTAACATACAGACTGTAACACAGGGGCTGAAGATGGCCAGTGTGAAAGGTGGGTCCCAGGCTGGGATTACAACCTACCTTGGCATTTGGCAAATACAATTAGCAGCACAACTGAAAGCCCAGCCTGGAGACAGGGCAAGGGTTTGCATGCAGCACCTGCTGCAAAGCACAAGCAGTCCAAATTCAGCAGGGTGTCACACTGAAGGGACAGTGGTGTCCCATGCACAGACACTACATCTGCAAAGAAGTTTAACCGGCCAAGATCTGGAGTGTGGCACTGAGTATGAGCCCGTTGTGCTGCTGCTCTGGAAGTACAGTAGTACTTTGGTTAGATTGCAATTGCCTTTTTGTTGTTGTTGTTGTTAGCATCATATTTTCTGTGGCAAAAGCTGAAAAGCAGTTGGTTTTTTTTTGTTACCAGCATCACTAGAAATGTGAGGAGAAGGACCCAGTCCTACCTCATGATCTCATTCTCTGTTCTCCACAGCCAGTGTACCATTTCCCCACCCAGCTGGGAATGATGCATCAGCTGAAAGAGCAGCTGGAGGAGAGGACTCGCATACTGCAAGCTGACATCAAGACACAGCAAGAAGAGCTCCATGTCATCAAGGAGCAGCTCCAGCTAGTGCAGGACTCCAACCTGCAGGTACCCTCTGACCCCAGGGTTCCCAAACCCAGAAGCCATTTGCTTTTCCTTTGAGCACACAGATCAGTAACAAAATTTTCCATGGCAAAAGCATTTAGAAATGAGTTTTGGATAAAGTGGTAGTTTGGTCTCAGATGTGGGACTAATGCCTCCTGAGAGATAAACATTATCAGTATATGCTTAAGAATTGATTAATATAATCGTTTTTGTTGGAAAAGACCTTTAAGATCATTAAGTCCAGCTGTTAACCCAGCACTGCCAAGTCCACCTCTAAACCATGTCCCTCAGCATCACATCTGCTTTTTAATACCCCCAGGGATGGTCACTCCACCACTTCCCAGGGCAGCCAGTTCCAGTGCCTGACAATCTTTTCAGTAAAGAAATTTTTCCTAATAACCAAGCTAAACCTCCCCTGGCACAACTTGAGGACATTTCCTCTTTTCCTGTTGCTTGTTGCTTAGGAAAAGAGACAAACCCCCACCTCACTTGTCAGTTCTGTGGCTGGTTAGTACTTCTGGATCCCCGGTGCCATTCCTGCAAAATGCAACAGACATAATGGAGCTGGAACAGTCACGATTCCAAATAAATATTTGGGCACAAGCCAACATTTTATTTTCTATTATTCATGGTTTACTTTGGCCCTGGATGTAGAGATACTGCATCTGCAGTGTTAAGTATATTGATAGAGGCAGCCTGGGAGCTGGAGATGGTATCTCCCAGGCAGCACAGCTGCTGTATGAGCTGTGGAAACTCATGTGTCTCTTTTCTTTAAAGATGCTGATGCAGCAGCCGATCCCTGTTGTCTTTAACAACGTGCAGCACCCAAGCCCCAGGAGGCCACCCCCACCAGCAGCAGGGACCCCCGGGCAGGCAACAGCCAAGAAGTCACAACAGCAAGGTCTTCTGGGGACGAAGCACTACTGCAGCACCCACCTGCCATCACCACGCCAATTCCTCAGGGACCCCTGTGGCACAGCCACCCAGGTCAGTGGTTGCTTCAGTGTCTTCATTGTTCCCTTTCCTGTGGTCCTGCACATCTCCTCAGTGCTGGCATTATGAAATTTGTGTCAAGAGTCAGTTGTGAATGATGTCATTCAACTGTAAAAATAAAAGCCAGGTAGCCTAAAAGCATTAAACCCTGGGGACCACTGGAGCCATCCTGGTAACCAGAGAGGAGCTCAGTGGGAGGTTTGGGCTCATTTGCTTCTGTTTAGTACTGCAACATGATGCTCATTTGTAGCCACTGAGAGTTATTTGTAGCAGAGGGAAGTGGGGATAGTTTTTAAAAGACTAATTTTCTTCTGCCTAAATCTTGGAAAGCACCTCTGAAAAACAAGTTTGTCATCACTACACCTTAATCCGCTATAATAGAATCACAGAGTGGTTTGAGTTGGAAGGTCACCTGGTTCAATCTCCATGCAGTGAGCAGGGACATCTTCAACAAGATCAGGTAGCTCAGAGCCTTGTTTAAACTGACCTAAAATGTTTCCAGGGATGGGGCTTCTAACATCTCCCATGGCAATCTGTTCCAGTGTTTCACCACCCTTATTGTAAAAAATAACGGTGCTGGGGATTCCAGCCCGTGCCACGCAGGGGCAATAAATGCACACAGGTTATCCTGAACAGATACACCATCTCTATTGCTGTGTCCAGAAAGAATATCTTTTTGTTCCTTCTCCTTTTCTCATCTGCACACCCAAAGCAGTTATTTTAACCTTCAATTAGGGATATTAAAAAAAAATTACATGGGTATCTATGTCGTCTTTTCAGGTGCAGCAGCAGCACCTAATGAGAGGAAACCAAGTCCAGCAAACGTGTCTGCCGGGGCAGACGAGCATTTCAGTGCCCCTCTACAACAACCCCGTGGTGTTTTCACAAGCACATCCCATTGCCGTGGCTGCACAGGTGCCGACCGATGGCAGCGAGAGGCAACCACAGTCAGAGTACAGCCAGGACAGGAGCCTCAGGTGGGAACTGTCCTGGTGGTGGTGGTAGAAGATAGCAACACCAGGGTGCAGGGAGGGTGTGCATGGCTGGGCTAGGGTGGGTGATGGTCCATGGATGTCACAGCAGGGGCGTATGTTTCCTCCTGCAAAGACCTGTGTTAGTGAGGAGGTAAGTCTAGCAAGACTTACCATGTCCCTTACCTTCAGGGGCCTGAAATCCTTTTCTCTCCGTATTTCCATAAATTGTCCACATAGCTCAGTAACCTCTGGACATCAGCTGCTGTCAGAGGGAGAGAACCAACAAAAAAATAGCAAGGATGACCTTTCCCAAACCTGTGTCTTCTTGCTCTTAAGCTCCAGAGTGTCTTTTCTCCAGCAAGGACAAATGCCATGGCAAAGCCATTTTTCTTTTATACAAAGTTGGAAACCTTGTATACAACTGCCCCAAACCATTCGACCACCTTTCAAGGAGGTATCTGCAGACACTGCCTCCAGGATCCAACCATTTTGAAATATTGTATAAAGAAATCAGATAAACTCCATAGATCTCACCATCTATAAAAGATATTTCTTACATGAAAAATGTAGCAAGTTTCAGCTGACGTTTGCAAGTGCATTAGACAAGGTGATAACAAGCATCCTGTTACAGCAGCATTTTTTTCATGGTGATGATTTGCATGCTTTCAGGGAGGATTTTCCAGCATTTTCTATTAGAGACTGTCAGTCAGAAGTTTGGACTTTTCTCTTCCCTGACTGTCCTCTGTTTTCCCTCCACTGCAGGATGCTGTTGGATCAGTCTATCCAAGCCATGATGCCCGCTGCCAACGGCAGTGGCCAGTCCACACAGAGCAGTGCCAGCAGGCAGCAAGGAAAGTGAGTCTTCTCTTTGTTTTCATGCAGTGTTTTAGCAGGGCACTTTTTGGTGCTTAAAGTTACTTCAAAAATCTTGTATGTGATCCTGCAAACATAAACAGTCTCTATCTTAAAAGAAGGAAAAGCTCAGCTGCTTACGAGAGAAAGTAATGAGGATATTTCTTAATTACAAAGAACTTTATGGTAACTAAAGTGCTTTGAAAAAATGTTTTTAAACCATTTTCTGACTTTTGAAAGGCTGAAAATGCCTAATCAAGTCATGGAGGAGATGTACAGCCTTAAAAACTTAATTGTCTGCAGTTCCAGTCACTGCTTGATGGGGAGGGGACAAACGGGCCTATTTTCACCAGGCTCTGCATGGTTTGGCAAACCCCTCTCCAGTCTGGTTCCTGCAGCCCTTGGGCTCCCCAGGGCCCATGCCACTGGTGGGTCTGGGTTCTCACACCTTATTTTCTTCCTCGTGGCAGATTCGTTGCAGAGCAGCAGATCTTGCCTCCCCCAGTACAGATGCAACCTGTAGCAACCTGTAGCACCGTCCGACCTCCAGCCCCATCACCCATTTTCTCCCCGTCTCTGATGATCCCACACACCAGCTTCACATCCCACCAGGCAAACACACCAGTCCTGCTCCATCAGTGGCCACAGCAGCAGGGTCAGCAGCACCGTCTCTACCTTCAGGTAACAGAGCTGGGACAGGTTTGTGAGGATGCAGAGGAATGGTCTTGGGGTTGTTTTTTCTGAGAAAACGGGGCTTACCTGGCCAGTCAAACCTGGTCAATGCACTCACATGTCCTCCCTTCTCATTTTATCTGCCCGTACCCCAGTGCTCAGCCTTTCCAGGCTGGCTCTGCCATATTTTCCAACACACTCAGTGCTCTCCAGGTGTTGTTAGTTGTGCTGATAGCACCAGCATCCTGAGCTGCTTGCTCACAACTTGCATGTCCAGAGGTTCCCTTTTGGACGTGGCACTTGTGGTCCTGGGTACGAGGCCCAGCACCAGCCCTGCAGTGAGTGGGCGACGGGGCAGCTCTGACTTGTTGGGCTCGTGTCTCCCGACAGATGCAGGGTCCTGAGCCGGTGCCTGGGGGTCCAACGCAGCGCGTTTTCCAGCCACCCCACGCCCCGCAGCAGAACCCCCTGAGCTCCTTGCTGCACCCTCAGCAGCAGAGCCGCCACACGCAGGGCCAGGCATGCAACCTGCCTGACCTGCCCGAGATGCAGCTGCCCTGAAGGCCAGGCCGGAAGGCAGGAACCAGGTCGGCTGAGCTGCCCGGCGCCCCGAGGACCGCGCCAGCAGAGCACGGGATGGGTGAGGTCAGGCCCTGTGGAGAGGGCAGTGGCTGGAGGCACAGACCCCACCAGGGGCAGACAGCTCCAGGGGTACCTCGTCTGTTGGGATTTCCACCCAGCCAGTCCGCGACGCTGCTCCGGCAGCTGCTCGTGCCCTTGCCCAGCGCCGCGGGACGAGTGGGAGGCCATGGCTTTCTGGCTGCAGGGAGGGTACTGAGCAGGTGGCCATGAAGATTGCTTTGCAATGGGGAAAAACCTTTTCCAGTCAGGACTTCAATGCTGACAGTCACTGTGAATTTAAGCCCAGCATTTGGAGCACCTACACAGACTGTACCGGTCACCGGACACCGTTGGATTACCCTGTATATAACTCCTTCTGCTGTAGTAGGTCCATTGTGGATTTATTTTTTTTCCCCTTTTTTCTATACCTCAGTCCTACAATGTTTTGTTTTCCAGGAGATTGGATAATGCTGCTAATTTACATAACACCACTTTTGCCTGAATTTCTTACTGTTGTTATACCAGCTCACGTCGCAGCTAGTAAGATATTTGTCATGTTTTATTTTGGTTAACAAGTGCAGATAAATTTATACGGTTTTTACTCCCTGTAGCCAAATATTTTTCAGGTTACAAGCAAAGAATCCTTACTCCTCCTTTTTTTTTGGTTGTTTTGTTTCAAGTGATGTAGTTGTATATGTTTCTATACATGAAAACAAACAAGAGTAGAACAACATGTGACAGCAAACTTTGTGGTTTTGCTGGGTCATGTTGCAATTTGGTGAACTTGAAAGATATGCTCCCAAGGACACGAGTGATGTTACAAGCCCGTAGGGTCAGCAATAAATTGTATTTTTGTAAATTGTCACTTTTTAACTATATGTTTATATTTATGAATTGAAAAAACAGTTTATTCCTCAGTGGGTGTATAGTTGTGTCCCTACTGTTTGTGTCTTTCCAAAGGAAAAATGTACGCTTTTGAGGAATTAGTAACTCTTTACTAACTTTGGGCACTGTTAGAGCCCAAACTTTAGAGATGGGTTCAGCCACTGCTTTAAGCTTGGCAAGAAAATGGTTAGTTAGGACCAAGTCCCACTAGAAGCAAAGCTCCATCTGGCAGTCAGAGCAAGGTTTAGGGATGGGTTAGTTCATAATCTCTGTCGAGTCCAAGCAAAGCATGGGGTTTTTTTGCCTTTTTGTTTATTTGTATTTGTATGCTTTTTTTCCCTTGTGTGAGCCACTTTCTTCACACCTCCACAGCAGCTGGACACTGGTGCTGACTGATGGAGCAGCCGTTGGCACGAGCAGCCCTGAGCAGCACTGTGCTTCAAGGAAAGGGGAGAAGTGGAAAAGGCAGCATGCAAAAAAACTAGGTACAGCTGGTTGTATGTATATGGTTGGACTTGGTGATCCCATTGGTCTTTTCCAACCTGAATAATTCTATGATTCTTTTCTATTCTATCTACAGCCAGAGGTATGGAATGCTGTAGATAGTGATATCTGTAGTTAGGCTTGCTTCTCCCCAGCAGCCACACACATTTTCTCTGCTGCAGCACTGGAATGATCTTGGGGCCAGGTGTGAGTGTGTGGGAGCTTGGTGGAAGGGGAGTAGAAAAACCTGCCTGTTTCAGCCTGATCGAAGCAGATTATGGCATCCTGAGCTTCCCAGAGAGCTTAGTAATGAGACAGGGATCTGCCCCTGAAATGCTTTTGTCTGCAGCCTTCCTGCTGCCTGGCAAGGCACAGCGTGGCTCACTGCCTGCCCCATGGCACAAGGAGCTGTTTCCCAATCACTGGGATTTTCCTCGATAAAGTGACAGGGTTTGGATGTGCCAGGTTGCCCGAGAGGTAGGTTGCGTTTCCCTGCCTTGCCTACTAAACCTGCATCACCCCAGCACCCCTGCATATCTGTTCTGCAGTGTCCATCACCACACAGAAGCCCAGACGTAGCAGGTGTCAGTCAGTGATGGTTGGGGTCAGGGACTTGGGAATGGGGACAGGGTTTTTTTCTTTAACAGGGCTTGGTAGGGAGGTAACTAGGGCAGAGAGATTCCTGGCGTTGTGGTGGCTTTGAAAGCAAGCGCAACAAAAGAGGAGGGGGGAAGGGTCTGGGAAGGGCTGGGGGGTGGTGGCTGTGCCAGACAGGGCTGTGCCATGGACACAGCCCTCCTGCTGGCAGCCCTGGGCTGCATCG